GGGCATGGAAGTATGTCCTGAAAGATGAGATCCTGGACATGCTGTTGGCTCACAAGAGCCTGCCATGCGAGGACGCAAAACGCATCCGGGAGAAACTCTCCACTCAGGAGACGTGGCGCAAGGCAATGGCTGGTGGCCTTCTCTTCTCGCGGGAGACGCTCGACAATATCCCTGACAATGAACTTGACCCTAGCATTTTGACTGCAATTGGTGATTCAAGTGTCGCCCATGACATTGTAATGATCTGGACATGGCGCCGAGGCAAATCCGTGAAAGTCGTGGCCAACAAATCGTGGCTGGGGGCGCTGCAGCCAGCCAGTCAAGAGGCTGCGGAATTTCTGGCAGATCTCATTTACACCAAGAAGTACGACGAGAAGGTGAAGAGCGTGTTGCACACCAACTTTGACGTGAATGCCCTCTCGAGCGCGAGGCGCTCAAGCCCATCTGGGACAAGCTAACCAAGAAAGCCGACAAAACGGCTGCGGCAACGCAGGCGGAGTCAGCGGACGAAGGTGCGTTGGATGACGCCACCCTTGTGAAGCTCTGAAGACTGAAGACAAAGAGTTTCTGCTAGAAACTGAGACAACCGCCAAGGACCTTGTCAATTCCCTTTTGCAGGTCGCGGTGGCTGACCAAGAGATTGACAAACTCATCCTTGCTTTGTCGAAGGTGGAATTCCTAAACACGCGAAGCCAGGAGGGTTCCCAACTTTTCATTTGGGACGTTGAGCAGGCAGGAGAGCATAAAACCGACGCTCGGAGGTCACCCCCTCCGTTTCAGAAAGAACACTTCGAGAAAGTGGTCAAGGGCGTGCTTTTTGCACGAAACAGGCAATCCACTTTGACCTTTGACGACTCGGACGGGCCGCCTCCCCCAGACGCTTCGGATGTGTTGCCTAGCTTATTAGATAAACACAGGATGCGTGCGCCGTCCATGCGTTGCTCATCTTAGGTTCTTGTTCTTTGACGGAGGCCGGTCAGGCCTGCATTCTCATTGGAACAACCTGTTCAAGGGCATCGGCGTGACTAAGATGTGGAATTTAATCCACACTGAGGCCTCGACAACTGCGAACAGGAAGGCCAGGAATCTGTCAGGGACGGCGATTGAGCGTGGGGCCAGGGCCTCAGCGTTTTAATGTGATTTCCTCGGAGGCGCGGGGGCTGATAATGAGGTCAACGTGATTAACTTGGCAGAAAAGGTCTTGGTGACCACCACGGATGTGCAAAAGCTGCAAGCTATCACGGGAAGCCGGAAGAACCTACATTTTGAGGGGACCGTGTGTTCAGATGCTGCGCCTTGGATAAACCAAACAGTGCGCGGTTGTTTGGCGCGCTCAGCTTGCGCCCCTTGTTTGCGTGCGAGTTTCTGAGGTCTACGGGGTCCCCCGGCATGATTTGGCAGGGCTGACAAGGCTGGCACCTGTGTTCAAGCACGAGTTGCTTGGAAGCTTCCGCGTGGCTGGTGCACCGAACAACCAACAGCGAACAGATGGAAGTGCAAAGGACAACGTGGCAGGAGAACCGATCACTTGGAATCCAAGGCATTCGCACATGATCGAGGAATTGTTGCACCGGTATCGGCCACGGGCTGTCACACTCATGACAGCAGCAGAGCCTGCGACAGCCAGCGTGATTTTGACAAAAAGAATTCCAGTGACAGCAATTTGCTCCTTGGCTGCATCGCAGTTTGATGTCCTTTTGCTCGAGTTTGGTTCTGGTGCCCAAGAAGAGCACGCCAGGCTTCTCACAAAAGCACGCCAAGTGGTTCAAGGCCCAGGTCTGCACACAGCTCCTCGCGGCGATGACTGACCCTGCCAACGACAAGAAAGTCGCTTGGAGGTGCCAATGCAAAGCCGAAGCCAAAGAAGGCTGCAAAGATGAAGGCGGCTCCGAAGAAGAAGTCGGAGAAGGATCTGATTGCAGAAGACGAAGAAGACGAAGAAATTGAAGATGAAGAGGACGTCGAGGAGGAGAATCTGAGTGAAGACTCTGTGGGTAGTGATGACTAAACAAACTGTGGTGCCACAGTTTGTGCATTCTTTTGTTTAGCCAGCGCATGACAATAATGATGATAGCGGGACATGTCTGTTGGCAGCGAAGCAATCACAGACCCAGGGCAGATTGCAGTTCGGAGCGCTGGGAGGAAAATGGGATAAACACGCTGCTGCAATTGTGAGTGTCCTGTCTTTTGAACTGACAGTGCACGGAGAACCATTTGCAGTCCACGACCTGTGCTCTTGAGAGCCCAATCATGAGCCCCTCAAGCCAGTAAGTAGCATTGCCATTCATGAGCGGCGGCATTGAAGAAGGCAACTTTTTCCCGAGCCTGAGGAAGAACGACAATTGCGATGAGCCTGACTCTGGCAACCAGGAGGCTGAGCCTTCCATCGAGCAGCTCTTCGGCGAGGCGGGGGGATGGGATGATTCTGATGAGCCGGAGGACGAGAACGAAGATATGAATGAAGAAGAAGAAGCAGAAGAAGAAGAAGACAAAGACGCAGGAGAAGATCCTCCATGTCCAGTAGCGAAGGCCAAAGCCAAGGCCAAAGCCAAGGCCAAGGCCAAAGCCAAGGCCAAAGCCAAGGCCAAGAAAGAGCCCAAAGCCAAGGCCAAGGTCAAAGCCAAGGCCAAAGCCAAAGGCAAGGCCAAAGCCAAGGGCGCGTCAAAGAAAACCACAAATTATGAAAATACCCGAAAAGCTTTCTTTGACAACGCTGCCGAGAACGGCCTGGATAGTAATGCTGCCCGGAACGCCTGGCTTGAGAGCACAGAGAGGAAGAATGCGATAGCTTCAATGCCAAGTCCTGAGAGAAGGCAACGCAAAAAACCTCCTCCCGCTGATGATGTAAACTAGACCTTGTGGCAATGTCTGCTGCGGGCGCCCAGCAGACCATGGCACCGCGTGATGGGCACATCAACAAAAGAGCAAGCATTGCGTGTTGGACCTTGCAAGTTGCGACTGTCCTTGAAAGTTGCGATGTTGTTGATTGATGTTCTTGCCCTGCAGCTGTTTTCGCTTCACATCTAGGCAACTGCGCGTCAGTCCCACTTCCCACAGACATTACTGTGCTACCACAGTAATTATGTCGTCATGGTTGGACGGCGTGGGCAGTCAGGAGGCACGGTTTCAGCCAGGCGACCACGCTTGCTTGGTGACGTGGAAGTCCAGCTTCTTCCCGCTCTATCAGCTTCATTCGGAGATACTGGAAAAGTTGGAGCAAGCCATCGTGTTTCGCAAAGGGAGCCCCATCTGCATGGAGGAGTTCAGGGATCTGCGAGTGTTCATTCATGTGAACAGCGACGATTATCTGGAAAGACATTACACAGAGGAAACTGCAGACTGGTGCAATCACGAAACTCGCACTTCCTCAGTGCAGCAGTGGATCGAGCATCGGCCTTGGGTTCAGCTGGTGCCAGGGCCCACGAAGAACCTGATATGTGCCATCAACGAGTACAAGTGGAAGCATTATCAGTTGCGGTGTGTGGTGTATGACATTCAACGTGCCCCTTATGGTGGAAATTATGGGCCCATTTCCCATGCTTCCTGGGAGAAGCGCTTCTTGATTTGGGGCTGGCAGGACGAGCTCGATCGCGTGTCTGACCTGGTTGAGTGGTCCCAGGACTATTCCTCGATACTTTGCCTGCCAATCAGTGACCCCGTGCCAAAACCACGGGTGATGCTGAAGGCCCTTCACAGCCGAGACGTTGACATGATTCGCAGGTTCATGCCACTTTCTCTCTTTCCTGGCAACGCCATCTGGCATCCTGATGACATCGAGCAGATCACTGCAGCACAGCAATCTGATGCAGAAGGAAAGGACGCTGACATGCAGGTTGAGGATCCGGAGTTTCTATTGGTCGACACAACCGACCAGGTCCCTGCCACCGAGTGCGATCAAATTGGCCGTGTCCAAGTTGGACCCATCATCAACAATTCGCCATGGCACCAAGATCAGCGCGCAAAGCAGCGTGCTGCCGCCAGACTATTGAATCTCCAAAACCATGATGAGTTGCTTGCTGAAGTAGATCGGCTGCGGCTGGACAATGACTCCATGAAGAAAGAATTAGATTTCTGGACCAAAAGAACTACCATGGGTGCACGGGACTGGTGTGACCGTCTCCGCCAGGCTGAGCAGAAATTCCGTGAAGCAGCTGAAAAGAACGCGCGGCTTGAAGAGGCCCTGCGTGATTTAAACAGCAAGTTGGACCAGCTTGCGCTTATGACAAACTGCGCTCGCGCAGTTTGTTGTGAGGCGAAAGCAGCCAGCGCCAGTGCCTGAGGCAAACCTGGCAGCTGCCATATGACGGGGTCTCACTGGCGCTGTCCAGCTGTATCTCTTTTCCATTGGCGTGGGGCAATGCCGGAAAAAAAGAGAGCAGCTGCGCGTGCACGGCCTTTTGCTTCTTGCTTATCGGCTGCTAAGGTGGCCAACGATTGTAACCAGTAGGCTGCCAAGTTGCATGTTTCTGCCCAAGCGGATCCCGCCCCTTCCCTCTTGACTTTCTTCTTTGGGGTCCTTTTGGCCATGCAGCAACGCAAGTCAAGTTCAAGCCACCTCGGAGTAAGAGCGCATCCCAAAATTCTTCCCCCCCCCCTCCCTCCCCAAGATTTTCGGCAAAAAAAACACTTCCGAAAAACGGATTGTTTTGACAAAGAACGCGCACGCGAAAAAACAAGGTTTTCGGTCCAAAAAAAGCACACAAAAAAAAAGGCATAAAAAGCATGTCCTTAATGACCGGCCAGTTGAAGTCGTACACAATGCTGACGAGAGCTCGAATCCACGGAGACATATTGAAGGACAAGTCGCCCGATCCACCCAAAATTGCTTCCTGTTGCTCCTTGGAGAGTTCTATGAGCTCATCACTGGTGGGGAGATGCTTGTCGCTCAACCACTCCAGACCGGAGCTCGCCGGGTCGTTGACTGGCTCCTTGTCTGTCGGCTCCTGCTCCTGCTCCACCTGCGGCTGCTGCTCTTGCGGGGCGGGATGCGTGTGAGTGACTCCGCCGTCGTCCTGTGACCTGACGTGACTCTGGCTCTTGAAGTGCTGAAACACTGCCGCCAGCGACTGAAGCCTGAAGAGCTTCTCTTGCTTGCGGCACCATACGCATGTCAGGGCATCGTAGGCCTGCGGAAACACCAGCCCCTGGCCCACCAGGCACTGCACCTGCAGATCGTTGTACTCCGTCTTGTCCTTGCCCTTCTGATTCGTGTAGAGCTCCATCACCTTGCGCGCCACGGGAGCCAGGCGCTCCTCACGAGCAATGAAAAATAGTCACCCCCGCTCGAAACGCTATTTGCAACACACAAGATTAGAAACCCGGCCGGCCTCACTAAGGCGCAACACCTGCATCTCAACCGCCAGGTCTCCGCCTAGAGGTCTGCAAGCGACCACCTGCGCGGCGCTGGCCTGCGCGCGGTGACCTTTGGCTGCCTGATGAAAGAGCGGCCCTCAGACTGCGGCGCGGCCATCTGCTCTGCGCCGCGCGACCTGCCCTGCCGCTGCCGCCTCTGCGCCGCCTCCACTTCTCTGCGAGCCGACGGCTCGTCCAACAGCCTCTTGCGAATCGAAGCTTCCTCCTGAGCCCGGCCAAGCCTGCCGCGCCGCTGCTGGCAGGAGTCTACTCCTGGCTCTGCCTTGTTGCGGGTCTGCGAGCCAAGATCAATCCACTCACTACAGTCCGTGCTGCGACTGCGCGCCGAGTCAGACCCTTCGCTGACAGGCATCACTACCCAAGCAAAGCTGAAGCACAGTCCATAGCTGAGCCAACCCACGCAGTCCATAACTCAGGCAGTCGAAGATGCCAAGCCTACTGCACCAAAGCAAGACAAACAAATGACACACGCGCACTGCAAGCCTGTTTTTCTTCCTTGGTCTCACAAGCATGACTCTCTGGCTAAAGGTGCTGATGCTCAATTCCAATCTCGCGAATTGCGAGCGAGCAGCCTGCTTGGCTCAATTCCGCTCTGCGTCCTAGGCCACTCTCCGGACTTCGTCCTGACACGACTTCCTCCGGACTAAGCCTCTCTCCGGACTTCGTCCTGAGACTCCTGCGACGGCATGCAGGGAAACCTGAGCTGGCACCATCTCTCCAACCCTGCGCCAGCTGCGGGCGACTCTGCTGACCGCCAAGTAGTGGTCGCGAAGCCATGGCTGCGAAACTCCGCCAAGTCCACGAGGCCGTACGCCTTGCTGATGTGCCAGCCTGGGCTCAGCCTCTCGGGGTCAAACCTGCAAATCTCATCCTGCAGGCGATCGCGGAGGCTGCGCCCGATGCCAGCTCCTGACGTCGCCGGGTGGATCACGTGGTGTGCCAGCTCGGCCATCAATGGGTGGCGCGGGGCACACACTATCAGCCCCTGGCCACCAAAAAGGGCGGATTACACACGCCGCCTGCGGCAGCACCCCAGTCTTGCTCGCTCCCAGCAGGCCCATTGCATCTGAATCCCGAGCTTGTGCTGCTTGTCCCGGAGCCAAAGACCCAGCTCTACTCCAAGGCTCTGGCTGCCAGACACGTAAACAACTCCATGTATCGCCACAGCGCAGCGATCGCACCCGGCTCCTTGCGTGCTGCTCTGAGGCTGGAGATGGGAAGCCTCCGCTGCAGGAACTGCCACTGCTCTTCCTCGCCTGCGAACTCCCGGTAGAATCCAGGGCAGAAGATCTCCGCCGAGCAGCCGCAATCTTGGATCACGCGCCTCGAAAGCCACCAAAGCGGAGAGGAGCAGCACGCGAGCTGCGACCATAGGTTGGCAGTCAGCGGCATATCCGACCACAGATGACACATCTGCAGCACATCCCGAAATGTCACTGCCTCTGTCTGCAGCAACGTCAATAGCTGCTGCTCCGCGTGCAGCCTGGCCATCCTCTCAGCCGCGCCAGCATCCTCACACGGGCCTGGCACCAAGTTCCACCCCGCGCACACGAGGATGTAAAGCTCCGCGGACGCGGGCTCGCAGTCTCGGGCCACTCGCTCCATCAGGTCGTTGAAAATCTCCTTTTTGCGCTCCATGGATCCCCAGAAGTGCAAGCCACTGCCGATGCCGAGCGGGGTGAACAAAGGCATGCCGTCCTTCTCAAACCAGGCTTTCTCCATGGACCTGATGGTGGAGCTGGACTCTTTCACTCGCCAGGCGCGTCGGGCCTGATGTAAAGGGGTAAACTTGCACTCTTGGTCGACACGCACAGCGTCACGCGCAGGGGCCACGCTCAGCCCAACGCGCTTGCGCAAAAGCTGATCACGGCATTTCATCTCGTAGTACGAGTCGGCGATGCCAGCCCAGGTGCAGAGAAGCTTCTTCAAGATATGCCTGTTGCCTTTGGAGGCATGAATCAAACTCGCGCCAAGGCCGAGAATCAGCACATGCTTTGTTTCGCTGGACGACATCTTCACCACATTGGAGCCGTACTCAGCATATCCGTTGCCGGTGCTGTCGGACAGCGCGAGCACATACTTGGTTGCAAAAGCTTCCTCCATGCTTTGAGCCACAAAAATCCTAGCCACGAACGAACAAAAAGATTTTACATGCGCCATGTCACTCTCAATAGGCCTGCCCCTGATTCGCATTCGCATGACGCAAGGCTCTCTGACTCTTTTCCACGCTTCAAACTCTGCACGCTTCGTACTCCGCTAAATCAGGAAGCCATCACTGCCAACGGCTGGGGTCTGGCCTGTGTCCAACGAAAGGCTCCAGCAACTCACGCTGTCCTGTCGACACGCGCACCATGTCGGCCAGCTGGGCAGCGTTGCCGTGCGTCGCGCCTCGCACCTGGCTCAAAATAACCAGCCGCTCGGCCATCTGTAGTCCAGAGTATGTCAGGCTTGTGCATTGCGCCCACTTCACATACATGCTAGTCGATGGCTTCCAAAATGTGTCTGCATGCCTCGCACATGCCCAGTCGTCGAAACTCCGTCTCATCCTCGGGCCCTCTGTAGAGGCCTCGCATCTTGCCACAGCTCAGGCAGCTGCTAAGCTGCGTGAGCCACTCGGGCGACAAGCCCAGTCGCTCGCGCACCTTGCTGCAATACTCAGACACTATACAAGGCGATATCTCCACGAAGATATACTGTGTTGGGTCGTCCATTTTCGGCCTTTTGCTACGGCGCCCCATCCCGCGGAATGGCGTCGCACGCCTTGCTACGACACAACAATGCTGCAGGCAAGTCACACATACAATATGATCCGCCGCTCTCTCGCTTGCCTGCAAAGCAGAAAAGTAACGCCACACTATTCGCGGGTCTGAATCAATTGGCGCGGGATCGGTGGTTGGACTTGCTTCGTGGCTGGCCTGCAAAGAAAAACACTGCTAGGCATCGGTGCTCGGCTTTGCTTTGTGGCTGACCTACTCAACAGAAACTCGGCTAGCAGCACTCCCCGTCCAAACGAATCCGCTCGTCCAAGATTCAGACCCGCGAATAGCGTGACGTTGCTATTGCCTGGCAAAGCACCTTTTTGTAGCTCCACTGCCCACGATGCTCGAGGCGCGCTAGATGCGCGAGAGTGCTTTTAGCCCGGGCTTCGCCACACTGCAAACTTCTGGTAGAAGCACAGCGGCTCCTCGTCTTTGTCTTTGTCTACGTGGCATAAAGTGAGGGATGGCTGTGGCAAGTGTAAGTGGGAGCCATACGCACAGCTCAAAGACCTGTGCGTGAATTGCTCCCGCTTCTCCCCACGTCATCCTCCTTCAACGTGTCAGACACAGGCACCAGCGCGAGAGCTTCGTGCGTCAAAGGGGCTGACGCAAGTCTCGCCCGAACTACTCCGGCAGATCTGACCGACAGCGGACTGAAAAGCTTTCAAGCGCCTCAGCCGCGGCCAAGCCTGAAATGGCAGCGGTCACAGTCAGCGGCTTGAGGCGGTGCTGCTGGCCGGGCTGGCCTTCGGCTTGCCCCCGAGTGGACCTCTGGCCACACCCCGTCTAACCGAATCCGCCCGTCCAAGATTCAGACCCGCGAATAGTGTGACGTTGCTACTGTCTGCGCACAGCGCCTTTTTGTAGCTCCGCTGCGCGGGAGGCTCGCGCACGCGGGCAGCTTTAGCCCGGATGACTTCCAAAGAACATGCCCTAGCAAAGCTCAAAGTCTCCGGCACAAGCCTGAGGGCTCCGTGTGTGCAGTAGCAGAACTGGTTGGCAGAATTCCTCGCACGGCTCGCACACTCGCTGGCCGCTCACCTAGGCGAATCGCCTCTTATCGGGGTCAAATGGGGGTCGATCCAGTCCAGCTCCGCGCGGACGTCGTCACACATGCGATGAAACTCCACGCGGTCCTGCGACATGGCGCTGATGTTTCTCAGGAGCATCCGGTAGATCTCTTCCTCCAGGTGGTTCACGACGTAGGTCCTGTCTTTGCAGATGGTGTTGCACACAAGCCGGAATCTCTTTTCGCTCGGGAGCCGTCCGTGCTGTTGCCCGCATGCATGCGATACCCCCGGAATAGTCGAAGCCGCGCGGCTTGGCAGAGCACCAGCAACTCTCTTTGCGAGCACGCTTGGAGGTCGAGCTCGGGAAAGTCGCTCATGGCTCAAGAACTACGCTGTGGCACCCTGAAAGAGACACGCAGCGGGCCACACAGCACGTGAAGAGACCTCGGTCGTTTGTGTCTGTGGCCAACGCATTTTTTCCTTTAGAGCCACGGACACTCTGCGCAGAGAGGCTGGCCTTCGGCTTGCCCCGCAGGAGAAAAAGCTCTACAGTCTCACGGCCGGCCGCGCCCAGCTAAGTGCTGCCGCAAGGCTTCGGGCTCGAGGTCTTGGGCGCGCTGCGTGGCCAAGAAGTGGCTGCGAGCGTACTCCCTGTAACTTGGCACGCCGTGGCCATGCCCCGCATTGTAAGCCTTCGCGTCCTGATAGTCTTCGCGGCACTCCAGCAGCTGCGCGGCCGTCACTCGGCTCCAGTCCACGCGGCGACGCAACGGCTCGGGAAGCTTCTGGTTCTGCGCCGCTGCTGGCTTCTTCTGCGTGCGCTGGCCTTGCTTTTGCTTCGCCTGTCCCCCGCTCGCCGCTGCCCCGGCGACCCCGCCTCTTGTCGCTGGCCGCTTCATCGCAGCTTTACTTTCGCTGGCTGCGAGCAAAAAATGCTGCGGACAGGCAGCAGGCGCGTGGCAATAGACTGCAGAAACTCATGCGAGCAGGCAGCTGCCCGCAGCTTTCTCGCGCGGAAGTTCCCCCTTCCACAGGCGCTCATGCGGCTTTGCGCTCTCTGCTCGCGCTGCCTTCTTCTAGCGGGTGTCTCGGGGCTGGCTGGCCTTCGGCCTGCCAGGGCTGGGCTTCCGCTTGCCTGGGCTTCAGGACGGGCAAAATGCGGCCGCCCGGCAGCAGCAGGTCGCCGTGCTTGCCCGCCAGGATGTCGCG